TGGATGTTGTGCTGAGGGACATGATTTAGTGCTGTTAATGGGGCTAGGATCTTGAAGGTCTCTTCCAACTGAAACTGTTCTATGATTCTATGTTTTGTGACCTTTTATTGCTAATACAAATTATTTTGTGGTTCTGAATTTTATATGCCATATTTTGATAATATTTCATGAATCATTCACACCTGCTTGCATCATTTACACCCCCTGAAATTTCAGACCACTATGAAACTGAGTTTTGGTATATCTCTGGAATGATCTGCAAGGTATTTCTTTTACTGGCTAATTGCTGTTTTAAACATGATTGTGTTCACTGAGTTAAAATTGGATTTAGAAAGTAACATTCAGAGTATATATTTTATGATATGGTGTCATACAATTATTATAAATGGGATGCATATGCATTATAGAAGAGACTGAATTAGATGCATTACTTCTTTTCCTAGTGTGATACGTAGCTCAGCTTCTATCTTAAACTAATTTTTTTCCCTATTTTAGGCGAATTTACCCTCCTGATGATAAGACATTACTTGAAAAGTATGAGAGTTTATTAGCTACTGCTTTCCAGACGTTTCTTGCTGGGAGAGCAGCTTCACTTCAGCGGGAAATGAATAATCCTTTAAAAAGAATGAAGGTACTGAAGCACAAGAACTATTGGCTTTAGGAGTTAGGTATCTTGGAATTCATGACCTTGTGGTGTAGTTTCACGATAATCATGCGTGATGGCTAATAAATAGCATTTGATGATGTTTCCATCATTTTATTATTATTCTGTGTGCAGCTTATGGACATGATCCTTGTATCTGGATGAACTGCAATGGACCCAGGGTGGAGACAGGCTGGAGGCTTTAAGCTACTTCACCATTTTCCTGATTCTCAGCCTTACCTCTGGCCAAACCAGAGGTTGGCAGAAGCTGCTTTTGAGCTGGTAATTGCCTCCTCCTTCCTCCAGTTGTGTCCCCAGCCTGTTCATCCACTTGTGTGGACTGGAATGAGAGATGTCATAAAACAGGCTCCGTTAGCCTAAGGCATCCAAAAACTCTGCCTGATTGCTGGGTTATGTAGTCAGAGACAGTAAGAAAATGGCTGTATTTGAAATAACCAACTAACGTGATTTAATTTTAAATCTGAGAAATTTCCTGTCTTGTAGTTGGCATCATCCAGCAATTTTATGGGTGTCTTTGTTTAACCCTTTCTTCAGACTTTTGTCTTTAATAAATGTTGAGATTATAACTTTCAGTTTTGTATTGACGGCAAGCAGAGATGCATGCACCAGAAGAAATACTTCCATATCTTCTTGTGCCGGGATTGATAGTCTTATTTCAGGAATTAGTAATCAAAGTAGTTTCAATTTCCTACCACTTGGTGCTTGAATTTTGGAAGGATAGAGTACGTCCTGTTTTGAATTAATTGTAGTGAAATTCCCATTTTTAGGAGGAGGACATTTTGGATCTTCTGGAGCAGTGTGAAATAGATGATGAAAAACTAATGGGAAAATGCACCAGGCAGCGAGGACCTAAGGTATTTGACTTTCAGAGAGCAATTTTTTATTTCAGTCTTTAGAAAAGTAGTCTGAGGATTTGAAGTGTAGAATTTAGTTAGCTGGTCCTGGTGGAAGTTTTCGTCCTGCGACTGCCATTAGCCTTTTTTTCCTTTTGTATTTATTTTTTTAATTATGAAGAGAAACATAACTACCATTTGTCCAACTAAATCCCAATAAAAGTTTAACCGGATATGAGATCCTTTTTTTCCTAAGCTATTTTGAGGAACTGTGCATGGGAACAACTGCTGTACAAGAGATTGCTTGATTTCAGTGTGTGAAACGATTTTTATATCCGTAGCCTATCTCAAGAGAATGCTTTCATCTTTAATCGATTAGTGCCACTAAGGAATTTTGAGATCATGGGATAAAAGGCGCTATGGAAGCTCAGAGGATTAATTATGATTATGATGTGTCTATAGCTTACTTACTTGCTAACAGGGTTGTACAGTGTATCTTGGAGCCTATTTCATATCCAAAATCTGCTTTTAAAGTGAATGCATATTATTTTTAGCTTAATGCTTCCTGGTCACGTGCATAATTCTTACAAGTCTTTGTTTTAAATACACAGCATATCTCTGTAAGCCGGTAAAGATAAATAGTTTGATTGTGGCTAAAATAAATATGTTTCATATATCCTGCAAACATTTTAGGTCAAGTCTGTTTAGAGGAGCCTACATCTGTGTTCCCAAGCTCTGTCGGATTTGTTTATAGATGCATGTAGATTTTTTTACAGCATTTTATGTTTCTGATGACATGGTGTACAAGCCTGTGGATTTCTGTACAAAATGAATGCTGACAATTGTCCTGAGCTTGCAGGGGTGCTTCAGTTATGTGCAAGAATCCAAAGAGCTACATCTTATAGGCGTGCATACTGGAAAGAGGATCTGCGTACTAAATCTGGCATTAAGACAGATTTGCAGGAACCTCATTACAGATATGGGGATTTTGTGAGCCTAGTGCTTTAACAGTGGTGAATTCATAGCAGGAAGAGGGAAAAAAAAAACCAAACCAAAAATCCGGTCTCAATCCACATTCTTCCAGGATTCTTTTCCTTGATGTCTTTATTTTCGATTCATTAACATATGGACACTTAATTCAAGTTCAATATCTCTGTTGTGTTTTTCCTTTATCCAGAAGCCTATTTTTTCCCAATAGCCCTTAGAGAGCATCTGTCATCTCTTTGACTGTGTGCACACACATTTGATCTGCACTATCTCTACACTGGTTGCATACAAGCCACTCCCAAGCTGGAGGCCATACACATTTAATAGGGTACTGAGCCCAAATTGAGAAACCTCTTAATTAGTTTTAAGATGAAGTTTGATCAACTTATGAGTAAGACTATGTGACATAGTCTTACTCATGTATATGAGTATATACTTACATGAGTATATACTTACAAGTTGCTCTACCAGTACAATATTGCTTGCACTTCTAAGAGAAAGAAAAAGATTCTTATGACCAAAATTCCCACTTTTTTTTTTTCCCATAAATTGATGAAATCAGAGGGGAAGACAATAAAACTAGCTTATCCAAGGAGATTGTTTCTTTTCCTTGCAGGGTGCACACCTCATGCTGTACAGGATCTCTAGTCCTGCACCTTTTTTAGGGTCCTGATATACTTCTCAATCATTTAAACCATGCCTACAGGTGAAGCCATGTGACTGGAGAACTTCCCCGGTTGCATAGTGTCCTATCCATCCCTTTGAAATACGGACGCCCACTGTGGATGGTCCTTGTATCTTGTACCAAAAGAGCATCACCTCTTTCCTGTAAGGGGTAAGGTGCATGTGGCTAATAATATGCATTTGATTGGCCACCTTTTTGTAAAGGGTCTGCTGCGAGACCTGTAGTGTCTAAATATGTATCTGGATAGAAATCTGGTGAGAAAGGTAGGCAGTGGAACTTACCGTTACCTGTCAGTCTATCAGGTAAGAGATCTGTTAACATCAAAAAAGTAACATATGCAAGATCTAATTGACAAAACAAACCTGAGGGAATTATGTTACCCAACATGGAAGGTTCTGTCAGAAGATCCTAAGAAGTCTGGCTGTCCTGCTGACAGATGCTACTATTAGGAGGTCAGATGCTCTGCCGTGGGCATGCTCCTTTCTTTGGAAAAAAGACCGGTCAGGACTCAGAAGACCTTATACAGAAGAGCTGAAATTATTAGGGGAGAGGGAAGTGTTTTTCTCTTCATTCTCATACATACGCAGAAACATAGATCTACATTTATACATACACATTTATATAGGTAGGGGGTAGATGGGCATGTCTGTATAAATAAGCTTTGCATGGAGCAACTGTTCCACATTTGCTAGGAATTTCAGCCTAATTTTTATCTGAGTATGATTAGGAGCTCAGAATAGAAAACAATATTTTCCCAGAATCAAGGCATTTTTCGTGCAATTAAAATACTACTGAATTCTGCATTTAGTTTATTTGTAGCCTCTAGAGGGCACCTTATACTTACACACTCTAAGGTTTGCTCTTTTCTTACATTGCACCTGTTTGTGCAGGAAAAGGACTAAGGAAATAAAATAATAGATATTTTAGACTACATGAGCAATTACTTTTTTTTCTTCTGATAGAAAATCAGATGAGTTTAATCAGAGAAAAATCAGGTTGGCATAAAGGGAAAATCAGGGTGATTAGAACTGCTAAAGGGAAAAGGGTGATTAGAACTGCTAAGCAATCAAATATCTTATTTTAAGCGGTCAGTTTAAACCCAGATTTAGCTATTATTTGTCATTATTGCTTTCTGTAATTTCTTTGCCCTTTCTTTTTTATTCTTTTTTTGTTGATTCACGTGAAGACTTGCTCAGGATGTTCTTATTGTTTAGTGTAGAATGTGTGAGGAATACAGATATGATAAATGGGAATGAGATCTACCTTAAAGACTCTGGGAGTTTTGATTGAAAGTGTTTACTGAACCTTGTATAACTCAACAGGGATGTCTGATCAATATATCTCTGTGGTACGCAGCATTTCACAATTAGGAGAAAGCAGTAAGTGTTGAGGCACCTAAATTTGTTCTTCTGGCAGGTAGATAGATTTCAAAATAATCTTTGTGTAACTGAAAAATTACCAGGGTCCTCCTTAATGGAATATTTTTTTTCAACTCTTCCTTATCTGGTCTAACAGCGTGGGCTTGCCTAAACATACTGTCACTTTAAAGTTAGTGACAGAAACCTCTTTTCTTCTTTGGTTGGAATAGATGTTTAGGTAGCATATGTTTAGTTATAAAGTGTATCTTGCAGAAATAGTATCTTTGTGGCTTTTTTCTACTGTCCCTCACAATAAATTTTGGTGCCTTACATTATACTAAGATAATAGGGAATTTAAATAAATCCTGAGAGTTCTTTATTTCACTCTGACCCAAAATATGTTCAGGAATTATGACATTAATTTTTTTAAATCTGAGTTTTAATTGCAGTCCATTAGATGACTAGGAAAATGAAGTCATCACCATAGCTTCTTAGAGCTGATAGTTACCGGAAAGAAAATGTGTAGGAAAAAAAAAGTGACCGTGTCAGCCTTCTCAGGGTAGTAGATATAAGAGGATCATGTATTTTTCTTGTCTGCCTGGCGGTAGATGGAAGAAGAAGAAATTTCATTTGTAGTTTCTGTTCTTGCATCAGTTCTCTGTCTCCTACTTTTTTGATTTTTGTCTCACAATATCCTTGGTAATAGCACAAGATTAATTGCCTAGTGACGCTGAATCCCATCTGCACATGGGACACCAAATGCACTCAGCATAGCTTGCTGTATTCTTCCAGTTTCTGCTTTCTGCACGGTGTGGATTAATCACTTTCTCTTTCAGAAGTGTATCAGCCGAAATTCCTTGATGTATTTCTTTACCTCACGTTGATCCATTGTTAAACTATAGCTTCAGTTATTGCAAATATCAACGAAGGATTGAAACTGATTGTCAATGGTATTCTGCATCACTTGATTTATGATTTCAAGCTATAATTTAATATGTCTGGTAGTGTAAGACATACTTGAAATAAAATATTCTTTTTCCCCTTCTGTATTATGCTGCTCTTTATGTGAGAAAGATTATGATTACTGTGTGGTGAATTTAATGAAAAATTTAAGCATTTGTTCTAAAATTAAGGACAAACTTCTGACCTAATTTGGTAGGGTTTAAATATGTACAAGTGAACCTGCCTGAATCAGAGACCTTGTGTGGTAGTGAAGTGTTCTTTTGGGATTATGAAGGAATTAAATTTCTTGTTTCTATTTTTTTTTGGCATGCGTGTGCTTTAGCCCTTGTGTTCAATGCCAGAAAGTGCACAGCCCTTAAGAAGACTTAAGAACTACGACAGTGATAGTAGCAGCGATAGCAGTAGCAGTATGTCAGAATCGGGAGAAGAAACTGAAAAGGAAGATCACAATGAAAAAAAAGAGAAAAAAGTTTCCTATGATCTTGAAGAAAATAAATACAAATCTCTGGAACGATCAAGTAAGTTAAATTAATGCTTTTCCAAATGAATCTGGCATTCACAATGACTTAGATAAAATTGTTCGGTATTTTTGAATGTATTGACATTTGTAACTCAGGGTTAAACACTGCTCTGCTTGTTTCATCTTCTTTAAAATCTTTTCTAAATTAATAAAATTGAATTTAAAAATAGGAAAAAATAAATATTCTTCTGCCAAGAATGCTAAAGAGAAAAATACACTTGAACTACACTTGGAAATGGTGTGAATGTTCCTCTCTGCTCTTAGATTATTTTTTTTTATTGTTATTATTTTCCATGTGAATGGTAGTCTTATTAAACTTGAGTTTACCGGGATATAGAAAGAATGAAGAAATGGAGGTATATAGAAGGTAATATACTCCAGATGAGATCTCTGCACAGATTTTTTTTTTTTTTTGAGATTCCTTTCTTCCTGTCTGCAGAGCATTAGTGTGAGGATGTTCTGTTGAACATGCTAGATACAGCATGTTAGTTTTTAGTGGTGTATCGTCTCCAAGGATTTCATCATGTAATTGCACAGTTATAGTGCTGCATCTAATTTTTTTTTTTCTTGGCAGCACCCTTCATTTAGCAGAAGACTTAATTAAAAACCGTCATAGCTATGCAGGAGCAGATGAAGGAGACTGGATCTGCAAATATGGGATCCATCAACCAAATTTTCTCTCCTGCTTCCATATTCTTACAGTCAGGAAGCCACACATAGCACCCAAGTACTTTTTGACCCATAGGGCACACACACTCTGTCACAGGTCGGGTGCATGTTGTAGAGGACTGGAGTGTACCTGATCAAAGCTGACTTTGAGGAAGAAATAAAAGTTCTTGTTGAGTATGTAAAGTAGGAGATATGACGTGACTGACTGCTATGTGTATATTTGTTAGTCAGCATACATTAGGGTACAACATATGTGCACACGTGGTGGCTATATATGTTGTTAGTTACAAAGACTGAAAAATGGATGTTTAGAGAATAATAGTTAATTAAATTATTCATTTAATTTCTCTGCAGGTAGAATGAACTGGAAACCTCAGATTAAAAATATAAAATCTCCATCATGTTCGTCTCCTGCATCATCCACAGGTCCAATAAGGCGTTCTGTAAGCTGCCCTCGTTCAATATCAATATTGACTATGCAGTCACAGGCAGCTGAGCAACGTCCCTTTTCAGCCAAAGCGTCTCTGCCAGTGCAGCGCGCATCCTCAGTGAGTAGGTCTCATTCTTTAAATCGTAGCCCATCTTCGGCCAGAGTCTCTCAGACACCCAGCTTGGGAAGTGTGAGCACATCAGGGGTGAGTTAACAGAGCTGTTGCATTCAAGGCATGTTAATTTCTCTAAAACTCAGTAAATGCATTACTAATTTTTGCAGCGTCAGAATACCTGAAGTACTATAGTCCATGCTGTTTTGACAGAAAGTCAGGAATATAAGATCTGTAGACCCATATATAACTTAGTGGTTGCTAGCTGTAGTGTTTCAGTGTTACTGGTGCAACAGTACAGATATTATGTTTTGAGAGAATGGAAATCCTAGAGTTTTTGTCACTGGGAAACCTTCTCTCCTAAATAATTTTTTGAACGTCGAGTTTTTACATCTCTTAAGGAGTTTCTGTGACTTATTTGGGGACTGGTTCTGAACTAAGGATGTACCTACTTTCAAAATGTTCACGGTAACAAAAATACATCAGTACTTCAAAACCGGCATAACAGTCCAAGGGTAAATACATTGCACCAGAGTAAAGCGTTACGAAGACTTAGTGTGGGTGCCTATTGCAGAAGAAGGTGTAATTACTTTATAAACCACTGTACTTATTTTGCCTACATTATACCACTGCAATAGAGCTCACTTACAAAGTGAATAATTTCAAATCTGTAGATAGCTCTTGTCATCTTTAGGGCTTGCCACTCCAGTAACTGTCTCAGAAGCCATCTTTTTTTTTTATTTTTAAAGTGAAGATAAAACTTCTTTTGTTTTGAAACCTGCCCCTGAGACAGACGAGCATTTATACTCAGTCTACCTGAGTAATAAACAGAGTAAACAGATAAAATTAAACACTTCAGAAATTGCGTGGTTAGTTGTAATTTCATAATGTAGTTCTGAACTGTACATCTCGTCCTTTTGTGGCCAGGCTGTCATCCTCTTGAATGTCTCATTAATAGCCCAGGAATTTCTTCTTCTGTGTTTGCGTGGAGGACCACCTGTTCACGTATTCCTAGATAGCGTTTTCTGGGATCAGTCCCCAGCCTCATTCAGTACTCTATTGTGTGCGGGTGTCAGTGCGTTTCCATTCATGCTTTGGTGCCTGACCTACATATTTTATCACCCAAATAATTAATCTGGAGATGGGACAAAACAAATTGGTACTTTTAACTCCTATTTGCAGCCTTTTTCTTTTGTGGTGACCTTTGATTGTGAGAAAGCCTCTTGTAATGCTAATTAACTTGCTTCATAGTATTTACTATATCTCTAATCATCATTTTTATCTGGTAGAACACTCATTGTCTGTTTTGCCTGTGAGGCTTTGTCTCAATGATGAAAAAGAATCCTTTAAAAATTGTGTGCTGACGTCTTGTGAAATACTCACTAACATGGTTTTCCATCTTTAAAGTCAGCTAATAGAATTGGAAAGACACTAAGATTGTGTCTTCACCGCAATGTGTTAAAGGTATTTTTTATCACGTTAGCTATCTCAAGTTTAAAAAGTACCCTTTTATCATCAAGATATATTCTGAGAGTTTAATGAGACAGGGCTAATATAGATTTTTCTATTCACATTCACTTTATATCAAATACAAATTACCAAAAGATTAAAAACAGGCTCTTACCATCGGACATTAAAAATGGGCTACTCACTTAAATTAACATTAGTAAGAAACCATGGTCTCTTTTTCATTGAGAAAGCTCCGCCACAGAAGTGATCCTGATACGCAGAGCAATTATGTTGGGTGATAGAGCTTAGATCATGCTTCTTAAAATTATGTGAATAAAATAACTTAGAGAGTGGATAAGAACTACTCATAATTTAGCACCGTATTGTGAATGGAACTCTGTTCATAATTATTTTTGCAACTAAGAATAATATACTATTTATTACTGCTAGAATAAAATTAAAATTGATAAACTGTAGCTTACTATGAACAAATCATTTGTGCATGGTGAAGTATTAGTTTATCTATCCTTTGGGCCATTTTTGGAGGCTGCTGTGATCCAAATGTTCTAAAGGTATGGAAACTAGATTTAGAATAGGCCATTTACAGTTGGGAATTACAGGCATATTATTATAGCAATTATAAACAAAAGTGGATTTGGAAATATTTGCTATCTTATTATTTCAGCCACATTATTGTGTATCACATAACAAAGTATTTCATTATGTTTAGAAGTATTCAACACTTAGGCAAAAATACCCTGAAGTTTTTATTGTAGTTTTTACAAATTGTAGTTTTTGCAAAATACAAAGATTTAGAAATGCCTAAAAATTTTAAATTTCACTCTTGAAAAGACATGAAATTAAGCCCACTTAATCTTGCAAATGCAAAAAAATAAAGAGATCAGAAATACTTCTTACTAGTGTCTAAGATTAAAAAATCCCCGAACCACAAACCCTCCAGAGACAGTCTTATGTGAACACTATGGGGGTTCAAGCTGGTGTTGGTATAAAAAGCACTGGTACTTTAAATAAAATCATGGACAGTTGAAGACACTGTCAGAGCTCTCGCTGCCCAGAGAAGGAGCAAAGTGCCCTTAGTTTTTAATTCTTCCTGAAATCTTGGCACAATGACATATAATTGGCAGTTTCTGTTAAATTGTTGCAGTGAAGGACTGAAAGGAAGTTTTATGATGACTTAATATTTTTTTTCATTATGTTGAATTTAAATTCAGAATCTGTTACCTAAATTTCAAATTTATATTTTAAAAGGTGGCATCATAAGTGGTGAATATATATTTGTTTATTCTGTTTCAAACAAACTTACATCTGAACTGTTTTCCATTAATTTCTTGACAAGTGTAAGTAATGGTGATGCGTTATTGTACATGGATATTAGTTATGTTTAAATAATATGTCTGAACCCTTTAATCATATATGTTATGTCACTACTTAAAATTCATTTTTGTCAAGGAAACATCTTGGTAATGTGATCTAATGACACATCTGAAATTTTTCCTCTGCTTCATATTGTTTTTAGAGTGAGTCTTTGTTGCAACAGAAAACAAAAGAGCAAGAGATTGCTTTAACTAAAGAGACTCTTCTCATCATCAGTGACATGAGAATGAAGTTTCCAGGAAAAACAGACGAAGAATCAGAATTAATTATAGAAAATGTAAGTATAAATAATAAAGAGGAATAGCAGTCTAGACACTATTTAGGTCACTAAAATAAAGAAAAGTAGAAAGCTCGATTTATAATTCTTGAATTCCTGTGGCCTTAAAACTCCCAAAATTCATGATAATTCAAAAGTTTTAGAAAGCTTGGAGCTTCGCATACTGTCTGACCTTAAGAGAGCAGCACAGCACTGAAAACATTCATATGTCTTTATAAGCTGTATGAAAAACAATCAGGAAGGCTAGGAAAATTTAGTTTTTCACTGCAGAGAAGGTTCAAACTTCTAAGCTAAGAGAGATATTGCAATTCATCTTTCATCTGATGTTTTTAGTACAGATCCTGACATGTTTAACTTGTTCTTGACCAGGAGTACCAGAGAACTCAGAGCGGTGTGCTGCAAGGCGCACTCGAACTTCGCCAGTCATGAACAATACCAGTCACACGCTTCCTGGCTCTTCTGCCACCTCACTCATCCTTACATCCAACATTGTCCCGAGCCTCATCATGTGGTGTCAAAGATGTGCCCAATATAAAGGGCAACCTAGGATTAAGATATATAAGCAGAAAAGACATGTATCTAAAGCCATGTTAAATATCTAGTGCAAAGAAACCAACATACACTTGGAAAAGAAAAAAAGTGGAGATAGTAGTTCTTTTCTCAGTCCTCTAGAAATACGGAGAGATCTACTGATTTAAATTTAACACCTCTATACTGATGTAGTAAGCACAATCCATGGGGTGTTAAAATTAATCCAGTTCATTATACAGCCATAAATGTCCTTTGCTCTGTGAGCTTTCAAAATGTGAGCTGTGTCCTTAGCAATCTGTGCAACTGCATCCCGCTGGAAAGAAATTCTTCTGTAGTGATGGTTGATTTGGGTGACTCTGGAAGATAGCATTCATAACTAACACGTTGAGTTTCTCATATTAGAAGCAGAAATAAAATGCTTCATTAAATTTTCTCTTTCAGAGATGCGAGTGTGTGCACATTTACGCACGTGTGGGGAGCGTGTGTGTGTATGCGCTCCATCTAGTGGTACTTTCTCATGCGGTAGTGTGGTTATAAATGCCATTTCTTACTGCAGAATTCTTTTATATATTTGTCTGGCCTTAACCAGTTTCTGATGGGAAATAGTATTTCATCATGGAAGGAAACAAGTAATGGTATATTAGCTGCCAGTGAGGCAGAACTTGTCATAGAACTGGAACAGAATAGAATAGAAAGATAGAATAACAAAATGAAAATAAAAATGTATGTTCACATCTCAAGCTATTTTGGTAGCACTTAAGCATCGTCAAAGGAGAGTATTGCAGTTCATATACGATCCTTTATACAAAGAATGTTTTCAAGGTATGCCCAGTGTTCTTTATGCAGTAAAAAACCCTGACTGTTTAAATAAAACAACTATGCATTATTGAACTTATTGCCGTGTTCAAGGACTCCAAGCTGAGTCAGTCAGGACAAGTTTCTACCTGCTTTGAGTGCATGACTTTGACTGTCAGAATCAGGTGGAAAAGAGGGTAGGATTAAACTGAAAGATTGCACGCATATTTGCAAGCGTTCCCCCACATAAATTTGCAAATATTTTGCTATTCCGCTTTTCTGAAAGTTTTCACAGAGGTCTTTTGGATGCTCATGCGTTTTAGCATTAGGAATACTCATGAACGAAATACCAGATTTCAGTTGGTTTTATGTGTATTTCTCTTATATTTTTTTTTTGCAATGACTACAGATTATGGATAATTGGAAGTATCATAAAACAAAAGTGGCATCCTATTGGTTGATAAAACTGGATTCTGTAAAGCAACGAAAAGTAAGTGACATATTTTATTTTCTGAAGAACATCTGAAGTAGATGCACAGCAGTGTTTCTACTGATGTTTACCAGTAGCTGAGAGTGACTGGAGATGCTAAAATACTGGCTATTAATATTAACATATATATAAATTAATTCCATTGCAGGAGATTATTTTGCTCAGTTTTTAGGCAAGCCATAGTTATCCTGGAATATAATTTAAAAAAAAAAAAAAAATTAAAAAATTAATCTGCTGAAAGAAAAGCAAACAAATAAATGGTTAGTGCTTGCATACCTAATTTTTAGCAAACAGAAGTGTATTAATTCCACAGGTTTGATTGATAAGGAATAAACCAGTCAGCAGTTTCAGGCAAATTAAAATGTCATTAGAGTTAGTGATATTGCAGTTGGTTATTTGAGTCCGTGACCCACAGTATTACAACAGATCATGTTGCATTAAAAAATAGACCCAGTGAGCAAAGATTACTGACAGTGTTGTAATGTTCAACTAACTAGTTTAGTCTGCAAAGGACTAATGAACACCGGTGCTCAAAAGATGTGTAGAGGTGTCACTTCAGGACATAATTCTGTAGTCGTGGTAGTATTGAGGTGACAGTTGGACCTGATGATATTAGAGGGCTTTTCCAACCTTAGTGATTCTGTGATTCTATCATTCTGTGATTCTAATTATATTTTCTTATCATTCTGTCTTTGCTTTATCTGCTATTTAGGAGCTACTGTTGTGCATAGTGTTTTAATCTGTTTAAAACCTGACGTATGTCAGTCATATCTGTGTGTCTTATATCAGTCAAAACCATCTTCTAGTGTAAAATTTATTTTCCTTAATGTAGATCTATTATTAATACTTTGGTGCCCCTAAGCAGTAATTTGAGTCTTTCTCTGCCTCAGTCCCTGACACATTATGTGGATGAGCATATCGGGTCCAGGCATTTAATCTCTGTGTGTCTCAATTTCACAACCTATTTTTATAGACTGTATAAGTAACCTAATCAAAATGCTGCGTACACAATAAAAATTATAAATGGAAAAGGTTGGTAGATTGTTACAGAAGAATGGAAAAATTATTTCAAATCCTCATCTCAAACTATGTTTTATAAAATCAGTGGTATGATCCTCAGTCTTTCAAATTGTATTTTGCTGCATATTGCATTAAATGCTTGGTTTTTTTCATACTGGTCAGAGAAAACATGCCCATTTAGTACATTACTATGTGATAGAGATGTATTTGGCTATTTAAGTTTAGATATTGAATGAAATATGTGTCCGCACAGCTTTCTGAAACTAAATTAGACATGACAAACTGAAGAACTGGAAAATATAGGAGGCTGTAATTTAATCACAATTTTTCTCAAACCTTTTCAAATGACATCACAGATCTATAACTTAGCAGAATTCTTCCTTGCGCCATTTACAGGAATCAGTAGAGCAACGAACATCATTGGCTGAAATTGTGTCATTTTTTTGGTATTTACAGCTGTTCTACTGAATATTTTGTTTAAAATTATCTATTTCTTTTTAATTCCAGGAAAGAGTTCTGTAATCCCAATATACATGCACATAGGTCTTTTCTGTTGTGTGCCTTCTTCCTAAAACCAGGCAGAGTCTTAGTAGGGGCTTGCATAAAATGGTGATACGGAGGAGGAGGAGGGAGGGATAGGTACATACATGGACAACAGGGCTCAAAATTCACACAGTTTCTGCAATGGAGATCTCATATTCTTAGCAGGAATCTTTGGGACAGTTGCAGCTGGTGGGGGATGTGTTGCTAGAATTGCTTTCTTTAATCTGTGATGCCACAAGTGGGGAAAGAAGTCACCAGGCAGGTGAGATCCAGGGCTTTCACGCGAGACTGGTTAAGATGTCTCTTTCAATCCGCCCCCACAGATCATTCCCCAAAACTGTGGAAGGAATTGCCTCAGAGATAGTGATAAATCTGCTCCCTGGGGAACTGAGGCTGTTTATTATATATTGTTCAATTGCCTTCCCAAGCTCCTTTTAGCCACCTGGTTTAATTTACCAGTGTCTGTCCGGGGTTTTTTAAAACTTTTTTTTCAACCTAGTCAGAATTTCATCCTTGAAACATCATTTCAGAAAGCCTACGATAAAGGGTGGTTCTGTCCTTTATTTGACTGGTAGTCATGTAAAGCCAAGGGCCCATGTACAAGGTCAGGATGATACAAGCTGGTATGCCAGGTCGTTATTAGTAAAAGCTGCACAATCAGAAATGTGGATTTCTTTGCTCTTATTGTGAGGACATCTTTTACAACTTAGGAGACTTATAATTCCTGAAGCACTAGTGGGCCCTTCATCTTTGCTTGCACTGGAAATGATTTGCTTTTTTTTTCTTTTTTTCACGGCTTTTAACCTCAATCCCTCCAAGCAATCAGATAGTTATTCTTAGAAGGGTAGTTTATAAAAACGGATTAACTTTGACAATGACATTGCAGCTGAGGACTGCCAAATGTGTAAGCTTTTGTTGATTTGAAAGAAGTATGTTTTATATTCCAGTGAGGTGGGTAAAGGAGAAGTGAGCTCAAGGTGGAGAATATTTATGCAAGTAAGGAATCTGTCTCAAAGGTACCTTCTGCAACTTTGTGAAATATGAAACAGAAACTCAGTCCCCTTCACTCTACTTACTGGGAAGTTCTAACACACAAAAAGAAAATATCTGGGCAGTGTACTAGACCTGACATTATTCATCCCTGACAGCTACATTTGCTTAAGTTATTCAACATGATGCAGGAAAATTAAACTTCTGCTCATATTCTTATTCTGTAATATTCTGGCATTACAGTGGAGGTACAGGAGGCATTTAGAAGCAAGCTGAGAATAAACTCCTGAAATCGGTACATGCTAAAATGAAATTTAGCCTTCCAAGACTTTTAGAAAAAAGAGACTTTTGTATGGGAGGACTTGTGACTGCTTCATGTTACATAACTTTACTTAATTTCTTTAAAAGTATTTTGATGGTTATCAGAGGGTTTCAAATACGGTGTCTCATAACATCTTGTTCTGTTACACCTGCATAATTGGCTATGTTAAAGTAAATCATGTAAATTAAAGTAAACAGAAAGATGAAGGCAAACTAGGGAAATTAACTTAGAAAAATGAGGATGTAGGTTTCATGAAGTTCCAGCTCTTGTGCAATGCCTTGTCTCTTTTCTTAAATGGATGATTGAGGCTGTGTTTGCCAATTAAAAATGATTAACTGGGACATTTTCCCCTTTGGAGTATTGGCAATATCAATGCAGAAAAACCAGCAAGAAGGCTGTATTTGCAGAGTACCTGGCAGCATGTGACTTGCTTTAAGATGCAGTGTTCAGTCCTTAGTTTTCTTCAACTCCAAGTGCTAAAGAAAAAGCTCTACATTGGCATTGTAGTTCTTAGTTCATGTCTTTTGGGCTAGTGAGAGAATCTATACGGAGTGGTGGACTCGTTCATTTCACACAGGAGATCATTTAGCATTAGTCAGTGTAACACTGCAAGGAAATGTATGGCTCATCTTTCATGTGATTTAGAGGCTCGGTTCAGATGGGTGTATCCTACTGGCCATTTGTGTGTGCATCAGGCAAGACACAACGAAAAGGCTGCGTGAGCAGGTTAAATCAGAAGGCTGATGCTGCTAAGGGAGTGTCTGAAAATCGGACCCATTTCACAAGCGTAGGGCAGTTCAAAACCTGGGTGTAGCTCCTGTAGTCGCTAAACGAGATCACCGTTCTTAGGTTATCATTTACTGCTCCTTCTGTCTCACTCTTTGGGAAGAAGAGACCACAGGTGTGATTTTTAATGTGTTAAGCATCTGCAGTCACAAAGAATCCCAAGAGAGAGGATAGCATTGTATTTCCGTTAGGTTATTATGTGCATGGAATTAGTGCAAGACCTATGCATGCAGACTAATCCTAGGTCTTCAAAAAAGAGCTCAAATATCATGTAAATGTCGTATTTCATCAAGACTGTCGTTATTAGGTACCTGTAGATTTTCTGCCCATTAAGCATTGCTCTTTACTACACAGCTTCATTGTAATATCGCAAGCATTTTGTTTATTTATGCTTTGGTTCCTTCATCACATCTAATCAGACTGTAAACAACAGTTTTTTATGCAGGACCAAAAAATGGCAGTTCTGCACCATGCTTCCATACTTTACTCTTCTACTAAATCTCCTTCACCTTTTCAGAGTCAGATGTTTCACTGTGTGAATCTGTCATACATATCTGAAAGTTTCCTGGGAAAATTGTAGCTTCTAATTTGCTGCATCTTATGACAAATAAATCATTACTTCCATTGGTTCACCACCCACTTCAGTGTGACTATTTTTTTGGAAGACGCTGTTCTGTGAAGAGGCAGTAAGAGTGTCTCATTTACAGGAAATAATTTTGATTTAACTGACTTTTTTTTTGTTAATAGGTTACATGCACCGTAGGCTCTTTTTAGGACAGGTTTTACACTGTTCGCAGTGCCAGAGTGGGGTCTAAATACTACTTTGGTGACAAAACTATTCCCAGTCTTATTGGTAGGATCTAAACAGACAGAAGCCAGGACACTCCGGAGCTTGTTTCTCTCCAGTGGTTCTGAAGGGAACCTAGCGGCCTGCCTTAAGGGAACGCACGGGTGTTGAACAACAGGCTGGGTTAATCCCAGCTCCCACGGCCCAGGTCAGTGGGATGTGCAAAGGTGTATCCAAGGGGACTCTGATGAGTTGGGTGCACAGCTGCCTGCAGGTGTGTGTTTGTGTGCGTGCACCGAGGAGCTAAGGCTTCCTGGGTAAAACTCTCAGTGCTGTCCTGGATGCAGTTTAGCATTTTCTTCACCCACATCTTTACACATTTGCATTTATATAAAGCTGTTGCATTTCTATGAACATTGCTATTTTAAATATCTTACTGGTAATTTTCTTATTTACACACTGTCTCCTGCACTAGAGGTAAACTAAAATGGTTTGATCTGGGGTAGCACTGAGCTTAAACAGACATTAAACCAGATGCAGTTTGTAGCTTTTCAGGACATTTTAATTCTTTATAAAATAGATGGTATTTTAAAAGGAAAAGAAGAAGAGATAATCTTCAAATATATAATATTTGAGTTGTTTGTTTTGTTGCTTTGAGTCTGTAATTGTGTCCATTTTATTTCTTTTTAAACTCTTTTTTGTTATTTAAATGAACTAGTATTGAATGGACTGAAAAAATAGAAATGAGGTTTTCAGCAATAAAAATAAAATATTTTGATTTGGCTTTGCAAAATGTTATTGACAGAAAAAGCATATCATGAAAGTTTGCTGATGAATGCACAGAAATGAAACAGACATCTGTGGGAATTGTAGCTCTGCAGTCATCTGCGTGTGTGTGTGTGTGTGCAGAGAGTCAGCGCACAGTTGGCTTTAGGCTTTGCAATGTGCCTTTGCTTTGATTTGCTTGGAATACTCTTTCCTAGGTTTTGGATATAGTCAAGACAAGTGTTCGTGCAGTTCTACAGCGTGTCTGGAAGGCTCCAGACATCGAAAATTTACATCTGTACCGTCTCTTTAACCGTGTATTCAATCGCTTACTTTGGAGCCATGGTCAAGGACTATGGAATTGTTTCTGTAATTCAGGGTAAGCCTATTTGTCTTATTGAAGTCTTCTTCATAACTTCACAATTAAAATCACTGCTGGCATACTTTGTTGCTCATTTTTATTCAAGAGAATGCTGTAACACATTGAACTTCTTTTAAAACCGTCTAAAGTTATAGTATAACTAGATATCTAATAATCTAGTCCAATCATTTTAGTAATGGAATCAGACATTTAGTAATGTATTTAGAAATCTACTAACATAAGAGAAAATTAATTTTCAAAATATCTGAGCTTTAGGTCAACTCTTTCATTGGATGGTGCACAATTTTGAGGCCAGACCACTGTAAGTGTCAAATGCGGACTTGCCATCAACAGAAATCATTGTCAAATCTATTTGAACTCCAGACTTACATGGGAAGAATTCTGTCACAAGTGCAGCTCATGCTGAATGCAGTGTCAGTTTTGTGATTTACAAGTAATGAATTCAAACTTCTGTGCTTGATTACATTTGCTGTTTCCCACACTTGTGGGAATTTAAGTATATGTAGAATAGGAAATGTCCGCGCTAAGGTAAGCAGGTGTTTTTGGCTTCATATGAAAATTTTAATTTTGGCATCATATGAAAATTTTAATTTCAATTTTTTTTAACCTACAAATTATTACAGTTTTTGGTCAAAACCTTTGAACAGCTCTGCTGCTCACTTCACTCGGGAGGATAGTCTTTGAGCCAGCAGAAGAATTCAGTGATGAGTAGGATTTCTTATCTAGCAATAATTTTATTTGTGCAGAACAAGACTCAGCTGGCTGCGAAGTGGAGCTAAATTCTGACAAACATCCATTTCCTCATAAGAGAACTTGCTGTGTAAAGGATCCTAAAAATACTGCAGAAGTACTATACAGATATCCAGTATGTGTAGAGTTTATTCTGCATGTAATACATGTAATACAAAATTCACAGGAGAAAACAGAAAGACTGTTTGCACCTTCCCAATACGTTGCTTATTCAGTTACAGGCATCCTTCTTGCTGCGTAATCCACAGCAGAGAACTCAGGACAGTAGATGCAGCAGAGAGGGCAGCTTCTCCTCCCTCTGTGTCAGAGTTCCTTGTGCCATTTGGAATAAACATAGGGCATGTGTAGAATTTCTGGAAGCATTGCAGGAAGGGATATTAATGTGCTAATTCTGAAACAACATGAGTGTATGGAAATATACTAAGGGGTAGAGTGCTTCAACTATTCATAAGGGATATGTCTTGGGAGAAGAGCAGCGCTAATAGCCTTAAGGTTTCCTCTTGCTGGTTAGATCTCTGCTGTTTTAGCAAAAAGGATGAAAAAAACGCCAAAGAAAACCTCAGTGAAATAACTGTGATGTTGATGGTTTCATAAAGCTACAGTTGTTTTACTGTATAATAAACAATTAAAATTAATAAGCGAAAACTGGTAGAACCAGTTGACTTCAGGTGGTTGTGAAAAAGAAAAACACAAAATTGACAATATTGCGCAATCAAACATAATGCTTTTCTGTAGGTGAGGACTCCATAACTTCTTACTAATATATGGAAACTAAAGTTACAGCATAACAAATTAAGCTTCCTTTGGTAACTGCTCTGATCCTTGTTGACTGCAGTATAACGGAGTATGAACTGGATCTGTGTAGCACGTGGAGGAGGTTGCACAGGCCCATTTCTATGAAAGCTCATGAAAATCTGCATATAGATTTCCAAATCTCAGTCTCTGTTATTAGGGTAACTGTATACCACTGTGTTTGTAATTGGCAATACTTATAGCAGTCCACATAGTCTTTACTGATAAAATCCCTCCAAACTGTAGGAAAGTGATCACACACCTCAAAGCCCAGAACTTAAGGTATTTGTCAGGAGAGATTGTTTCACAGGATTCAGGAGATTTATGGATTGAACCAGAATATAATTATGTGTAGTGCTGTGAATCTGCCGAACAACTCTAATACTTAGAACTTGATCTTCCTGAGTTCTACCAACCATCACATGACTTCATGAGGAAAGAATGAAGACAGTAGATTAATTTCCATGTAAAAATACATGTGGAAACAGGAAACAATATTGAGAAAAATATATTAAAAGTAGTAGAATTATTCTGCTTATGAAATCAAACAGTTTTGATGCTTTATAAACAATATTGTTTGAACAATTCATTATGTGGATAATAATTAAGGAGAAATGCTTGTGTTACTTGAAAATGATGTGTGTGGTGGAAATTCTGTAGGACTACACAGTTTCAGCTGGAATATACCATCTAGACTGAGGAGCCAGGCTGAAAAATCAGTTAGCTATATGTACAGTTTATCTTTTAGTCAGTAATGTTCATAATTCCATCCCAATACAGCATAAGTTAAAAACTCTCACTAGGCAGAAGTAAGCTTGTTGGTTCTTTGATATTATTTTAAGGACATATTTCGTACACCAGGGTTGTGAAATCTACTGCTGATCTCAGTGGACAAGGCTAAATCATCCTGAACGCTATGTTGAAGGCAGATGCAGCAAATTTTCCTCACTCTGTGAAGTACTTCTTTTATAAACAAACCAAAAACCTCAAGCTTACAAACTGTGTGTGCTAGTGGATAATGTTTTGACCAAAGAAAATCTTCACAGGGACAGTGTTGCCTTTAAAACAGATGTAATGGTCTGTAATCTGGTCAGAATTTTGCACAAACAGGAGTGTTGAGGTATACGTGAAGAACTATTGTTTTCTATGGTAAACGATCCCTACTTCATATTGATAGTGGAGGGTTTGGGTTTGTTTTTGGAAAGAGAAATGGCTTTTAAAGAAAACAAAACCATGATGGTCTGCATTTCAAAAAGGAGTGCTACTGTAGATACACTTTGCAAGTTACACTGAATTGTAGCAGACAAACTCTGTATGATGAGATGGAATAATAAGCAGTATTATGAATACTAAAGACTTTATACTAAGGCTTTAGTCAGTGAATGACTAAACTGAGAAACTCTCCTCGTATGATTATTTGGATAAGGAAGCAGAGCACATACTAATCTATTGAAAAATAATTTCGTATTTATTTCTTAGTATCATGTACTTGAATTAGAAGACAAGTATTATTGTGCTGTGTAGACATTTAGAAATAATTTATTACTGTTATTAATACCTTTAATATCACATCACATTCGCATTCAGGTGGTAGCCTGTTAAAAATATTTTTTTATTGGAAGACACGTATACAATTATGTGACAGTAAATGTTTATGGGCTAAAACTAAGTAAAGGCCCTATAAACACTTTAGGGAACAAAACAAGTGAAAAATGGCTGTGAATGTTTCACATATGAAGATTAACATCTTAATTTGTGTTTTGGGCTCAGCATCTGCCAGCGTTTCTGTTAAGTACTACAGACCTTTCCTGTGAACAGGCAAGGTCATGCTTTTTCTGTTGTTCCTCTACTGTTACATCTGATACAAAGCAGTAAAGCTCTCGGATTGCAATTTGTGATGGAAAACATTAAGACATGTCTTCTTCCATAACAGGAGCTCTTGGGAAACCATATTCAGTAAAAGCACAGAGGTGGTGACTCCTGAGCAACTCCAGTGTTGCCAGCGAATAGTACAGCTTTGTAAACACTGCCTGCTGGTGGTTTACAAATATTCATCAGATTCAAGAGGATCCCCAACTGGGATTAGCCCCCACTGGGATGATACAAGGTATACTTTTCAATACTCTTTTCCTAAATTGTAAGAATAAAAGATAATACTGCAATACGTTTCAGTCTGTGTTGCTACCACTACACTTCTCTTTAAGCTTAGTTGACTATATGTTGAAAATTTAAAAAAAAAACACATGGTGGCACAGAATTACTGGAGTCGGGAGGGACCTCTACAGATCATCTAGTCCAACCACCCTGCTAAAGCAGGATTGTTTAGAGCACATCACACAGGATGGCATCCAGGTGCATTTTGAAAGTCTCTAACCCCCCTAAAATTTCCCTTGAACCCTGAGTTTCTCATTCTAATCTCTCTAGCCCACTCATGAAGTGCTACTAAAAGACGACCTAATATACACGTTTTGTGTGAAATGACACTAAAGCCTCGATTGCCTACTGGCCAGGTAGCTGCAGCAAAGGCTTTCCATAAAGTGAACTGCAAATTTCCTTTCTTGCCCTTCTCAAATCCCCCAAAATCACTGATTCCAGATTTGCATTCCTAACATGTATGATACTTCTAGCTTCACATTTGCAGTGGGATGCTATAGGGGCACAGCTCCAGCCGAGGGTCAGGTAAGTGCCATCTGATTTACTGTATTGCACAGTTTTGCAAAGCTGATTTCCAAAACCTACAGATGGAAAGTTTTATTATTTCATTTTACAGAGCATAAATATATTTTCAAACCTTGCAAAACAGCATCATATAGTAAAAAAATTATTTGGCACTTACCTGATTCTCCATTGGCTGGTTTAGTTCTCCAGCTGGCTACAACAGGGATTGCAATATTGTCGGTATAGGGATTACTGAAAATGCTCCAACAGTGGGAGTCAACGATCTCCAATTTAACAACTGTAGGTGGAGATTTAAGTGTAAGTTTCAAATTGCTTAGGTTCCAAATTCTATCCATAATGGCAATTTGAATTATTATGTATATAAACTTACAAATGCTTTGCTTATATAAAACATTTTACAGACATTATTTCATAGAAAGGCTTTATGAGTTAAATAGTATAGGAAAAGCAAACCTTTGATATATTTTCTGATAAACTTATTTTATGACTTAATTGCTTACTTGCTATATCTCAGACCAGTTACTTGATATACTGAACCCTTTTGTTACTGTTCTATGGATCTTTAGGCATTCTAACATAATTTTAAAACAACTAGAAACTGAATTTTTTGGTCACAGCAAAAGTAAAAGTATGTTAGCCACAAAATAATCATATTCATTATTAACGTATACTGAGCTGTAGCAGGAGTATGGTAAAATCATTTGGATTAGCTAAGACTAGAAAATCTTCACCCTTCAAGTTTTTATTGCTTTTACTGTTAATACTGCAGAAAATTTTCCATCACTACCAACCACAAAGTATTCAAACTGATCGGATTACACGAATGTGCTGCAGTTAGCAGGCTGGCGTTTGGAAAGCAGTGAAAGGGATAGCCCAACAGAACTTGCTCGTCTGCAGTTTCTGTGTTTCTTTGGACACGGAGTGGAAGTTTCTTCATAAAATTCACAGACCTGAGGAATCTAAGTCCTCTCTATCCTAAATACCTGTATGTCTTCAGCAATGGAGTGCCACGACAACTCTGGCTGATTCAAGTTCCAGTTTTTATGTTGATCTCCACAAATGTCACATCTGTACTGTGGATACAGCAATATGCGAGTTAACCGTGATATTCTGAGTTTGTGAAATGAAGGACACATATGGGAATAAACGCTTTTGCACGTTATGCCCCACAACTGTAAGGCTGATTTCCTAGAAATGGGGGAACCACCATACTGTTTAACTTTTCATCTAGGGTTTTTTTTTAAATGATGTAAAAATCTGCACTACTTATCACAGTTTTCTTGACTTTCCGTAGAATTGTGTGAACTGCAGGAGAGCTGAGTGTGATTTAATGAATGTACAAGAACTCAAATTTTTCAAGACTTTATAAAATCTAATTTGAATAACTTCTTTTATCTGAGCACAAAACAATTTTTTGTTTTGTTTATGTTTATGAAATAAATGTTTATGAATCTAAAGCTCTCAAAGATTACAAATAGATACCTCTTTAGCTGGGAGAATTTCTTCATGCAGGGAGAGAGAAAAAGATAATGAAAACTGCCACAGAGTTCTTTCACATTTCATATTTGTTCTCAGTCCTGTCTCCTAACTGTAGATGCACTATATGTCATGAAGAGAACGAATAGGAGTACTGATGTAAATGTTTATTACTGTAATTTTTTTCTCAGAAAATTAAAAGTGTAAACAAAACAGGAGAGCTCAAAAACTATACCAAAGTCTCTTTACAATAATAGCTAAAAGCAAACTGTAAAAATTCAGTTTTCATATTTTGATAAATTCATTTGCATTACAAAAAATACCATCTACTGCTACATCCTTTGAGCTCGATAAGTAATTTTATCTATTGTATGGCATATTCTCTGGGAAGCGTTAAGAGTTTTTTACTGTATTGTCAAGCAAAGGTGGAACTCAGCCTGGTGACATATCAAGCTTACCAATAACCTGTTTCAAAATCAGACTTTATTTCTTTGTTAATTGTTTAAAAAATGTATTGGTGTTAATATTTTTATAACAACAGCTTTTCTCAAAGTTCACACAAACCACATGTGTACACATTCCTATATAAATTTCTCTCCCATTGTCAGTGTGACCCTGTTTCTAACCACGTGATTAGGAGGATCAGTCTTTTGAATATTCATCATTAATCAGTATGATTCACTAGAATGATGTATCAATTCTTAAGCAATAATTGATACAGTGCGTTGTGTTAATCTATCCTAACATTGACATAATTCATTACGAAGTTCTGATTTAGTGTGGATGTTATTTTTGCACACTTACTGTGCTTATCTAATGACTTCTATAATTAACTATTCAGAAATGATAACATAAAAGGATTTAAGAGTGAATATTAGACATAGGATAAATTATTGTTTGTAGTATTACATAAAATACAGGCTATATCGTTGCCTGAATTTAAAAGGCAAATAGTCAGTGATGTGACTTACTACCTTGTAACATTATTGTTCCTTGGTTTCCTAGAGTAGTGATGATAGCCTATTTTTAAAGAATTAGAGCTGGAAACCAAAATTGAAAATCTCTGATTTTTCCCCAATCAACATTTTTTACAACTTAATTTTTTGTAAGCTGCTTAACATCAATTGCCATTTTTACCCACTTTAAATTAAATAAATAGTACCTAATAACAGAGAATAATGGGTGAAGTATTAATTTTTGGTAATAGTGTTACAGGGGATGCCATTGTTTTCGTTATCTGCTTGCTTTAAACATAAAGGGCTGGAAAGATACTTGATCCTCATACGACATCCTGAAATATTGCTAAGAGTTTCTCTGAGTTTTGATCTGTTTCCTGAGTTAGCTGGTGCCTAATACTGTGTAGGTTTTATAAATAGTATTTATTGCACATAATTTCTTGCATACACCAATTACAAGGTATGACATACGATCGACTAATTTTTTGCTCTTGACTGTCACTTTGCCTGTGAACTCTGCTATATTTTTCATATCCTTTCTAGGTATTTATTGCCAGGACCTTCACAGTTCATCATGAAATCATCCTCGTCCAACCTTAGCTGCAGTGCATCTGGAATGCCTCGCCCTAACGTTTTGTTCACACACAGATACAGTCACTTGTGAAGCAAAGGGAAAGTTGCTGGCACCTCATTTTTTTTTTTTCAAATAAAAATTTGCGAAGGAGCTAAATATAAGCACTGTTATATATTTACTACCATATTATGATAACATTTAGCTGGAAACCTACTGTAAAAGCATAGCTTTTCTGGAACCATAATAAACCTTGTTAAGTTGTTTACACACACACGTGAATGTGTAGATCTTGATAGGTTTCTAATTAAGTCCTTCCTACTAGAAATGTTATTTTTTCTGCAGAATATATAAAATGGAATTGATCTTGAAGATCCTATTACATGTTACATTATTTTGTAAGTATAATACTTTGACCTGAATATTATTTATTGTAAAGTATACTATTTATTGTCTCAAATGTAACTGATCCTTTAACAAGGCAGAGGATTAAAAAACTGTAGCAGAACAGTAAAACTGTAACAGTATTTCAAAATAATTTCTTGGACATGTTTAAAATAATCTCCAGAACTCTGTAAGCCAAACCTAAAGCAGACATCTTTTTATTTCTTCTCTGAAATGACAAGATCTGTTTAATGCTGCTATTTTTCTTAAAGGACATGGTATAGTATCTTTTAGCCAAAGAGAAGGCATCTAGTACAGAAATAGTAAAAATATCAGTTTAGGCATTGAGTTTCTAATTGGATTCTTGTAATAAAATGGAAGTCAATGTTTGTTACCAGATTTTCATTCACATCACCGATGTCCTGTGCCTTTAGGTTTCCTTTGGGAGCAAGCACTCATCTCCAACTCGCACAAGCATGCATAGTGCATAGTTTTTCTGTTTTACTGCAGAAGCGGTAAACCAGACATTGTTAGGAAATACTGCAGCTGTAATGCATTATATCAACCTTAAACTAATTGGTTTGTTGTAGTTTTTAGCATACAACCCAGTACCTACTGTCGAATGTATCCTTGCAGTGGACAGTATTTTCTAGATTGCTGACACCTTTAAATGTTGGAAATATAATTCACTAAAAAGCTCTCACTCAGCTTCTTAGGCCTGGCTGAAGGGAACAAAAAGAAAGTGAGCCAGAGCAGGAACCTGGTATTAGTAGGATTTGTAACCTGAAAATGTCATTCAGGTTTTGCTACATACAGCCATTCATCTCAGTTGGCATTGTGCCGTATGAGCCTTATTCATTATAGAAATAATTATTAATAAATCAGTTAATCTAGATTTTAAAATTATTTAAGTTTTTTAACTGAGTAAAGAAAAGAGTAATTATTTACCAAAGACTTGTTTACTTACCAATCCTGTAACTCTGAAACATGTTTGTAAATTATCAGTCTATTTCAGGTGTACTGAAAAAAATAATTTGGGGGCTAATTATCCTCAAGAGCAAGTATGTTAATGGTTTTTGATATCCAGAGGTTTAAGACAAATTTAAGATGCTTAAGAGATTTTGAGACTGAAGTTGTCTGGAAATGATTTTTTTACATTTTAGTCATAGCATATATAAAACCGGGAATCTGGGTAGGATTTTTGATGCTTGTGCTGTAGTGCCTCAGCTTTAGAACTGCAGGATATATGATAATGAGACTATTTGTAAACAATTAAAAAACCTGCTTGAGATTAGCCAGATATAAGCAGTCGTCTTCTGGTCTGGTCAAGTCTTTTCCATTTTTGTGGTAATGCTAGTTTAATAATATAGTTTCTTCACATTAACTGTATATCTCTTTTGGTCCATGCAGTGACTACTGATGAAGCGTACTATGGTTATCTGTGAGACCTAATAAAAGCTGTAAATTCTCTGTTCTTGGGGGAGGCTTCCATCATATTCTGCTTTTGGCCATAAGGATAAAACTAGCTTCCAGCTTAGTTTGCCAGAATCAAACAGAGCCTCAGTGTAGTAGGTTCCAATGCTCTTTTTTTTTTTGCTCTTTTTTTTTTTTTTTTAAATTTGTTATGATCTCAGTTCTTGGAGGCCAGTGCTGGGATAGGTCTGTCTGTATAGAATACTCTGCTAGCAGGAAGAGGGCTAGTAACCATATCTATGAGATATGGACAGATACAGAAACAAATCACTTCTAGCATGTATAAAAGTGGACCAGATGGTTAGTTTATGTCTGATGTTAATATATTCATATTTCTGATGACCTTTCCTAAAGTGGTACTGTGTTCCTAGTAACGTGTAAGTCAATACTTTCAATAAATGTAACGCTACACTGCCCTGCTGGCTTCTCGGAACCGGTGCGTGCGGCCTGGGGGCGAGTGACGGGCTGCACCCACAGTCCGGCTCCAGGTCGGAGGTGGAAGCACTTAGTCCTTTCCTTCTGCATTTCCTTTGCGGTCAGATAAACGGTCCTAGTAAATGAGCCTCTACACAGTAATTAATTTTGGCCTTAGGCTCTTGGAGCACCGCTGGGTCTGAACCTTCCGCCTGAGGACCAGCAGATCTGCTGCCCCCTTGTCTTAGTCCCAGCATCAAACCTTTCCTCGGGGCAACAGATTAATCAAAGGTGGAAGTGGGAACAACCTCCCAAACGCCTCCGGGGGCACAGCGGCCTCCCCAGGGTGTTTCCCAGCT